CCGGCCGAACCGGGATCATATATCCTCATTTCTCTTCGCTCCTTCCCATCTATGCACCACTTCTACTGTGCTTGTGTTTGCCCTTGGCGCCAAGATCCCGGCGCCCTCGTTGTCCTGATGGAAGGGGCCCAGGAGGGAGCCCCTGAAGGGATCCTCTTCCTGCTCCTCCCTCGGCACGCAAAGGAGGCAGTTGAGAGCTGGAATCTGTCCGGTCGCAAGTTAGGGGTCGATCTGAAAGTTAGGGGTCGAGATGAAGAGAACGGGGTTGAGGGATGGTGGGAGCACCGGAACGAAAGGTTCCAACACTGCCATCTTCAACACATGACCGCCGGCAGCAATTCAGCTTGCTCTTCTACATGTTATCTTGGATGGAGATGATGTTGTGGATGATGATCTTGATGATCCTGACCATGACCATGATCATGGTGGCGGTGGCAACGATTTCGATGAGCGAGGATGTTGTCTGCGTAAGCAAGCCAGGTTTGAACATGGGACAAAGTTTAGTGTAGAACTGCGTCTCCAAGTTTACTTTCTTAACACACACACACACACACTCACACTCAGTGGCAGCCATACTATAACCAAAGCGAACAGGAAGACTACTACCACATCAAGTTAGGAAGCATCACAAGCGCTTGGGACAGCCATTGAGCCAAAAAGAAGTAATGGTCATTACAACTACATATATATATATATATATATGTATATACATACATCACAGATGGACATGTGTATATATATATATATACGTACATACGTACGGACGTATGTATGCTCTGTACATGTACCTGTATATGTGTGTATGTAAACAGCTTTTGAAACCTACCGCCCCGTAACGCCGAGCTGAGCAAAGAGGCTCAGTGAGCTCGCCCCAGGTTCGGGTATCCGGTCTCAGCCTTGGACACGAAGGTCAGAGGGTTTAGGGGTTTTGGGGGTTTGGGGGTTTGGGGGGTTTGGGGGGTTTAGGCCAGTTTAGGCCTTTTTGGGGTCTAGGGCCTAGGGTTGACGGCGCTTGCGGTTTGGCGGTACGCTGGCGCTCTCGGGTAGCCCCTGCTGTCTCTGATGCTGTGAGCGTGCGCAAGCATGGCTTTGCGCACAGCAGACCCCGGAGACAGCACTGTGAGGTGATTGGGACGCGCTCTACCAGTGGAGACCATAATCAGATAACCTGGCTCCACTCTGAATCCGCCCCTGCTTGGGACGCTACGCGTCCAGATCCGCTGTGTCTCCGCGACGGATGGCTCTCCTAGCAGCCTCTCCGTTCAAGACCTGAGGCAGGATGTGGCTGAGGGCTAGGGCCTATGCTCGCATTCAAGAGTCTAGCGTTCTTTCGCTGCTGCTCAGTCTCAACGTTCCACAAAGCCAAAGCCGTAGACGGAAATCCGAGTTCTTCCACCCAAGCCAGAACCGGAGGAGCCCCAACCTTGCGCCACGTGAGCACTTTCGCTCGGAGATCCTCCAACGGCCCCTGGCAGGGACACTGTGGAGATCTGTGGAGTGCCAGGGGTGACGCTCAGGGGAGGATGACAAACGTGATCATCCGCAAGCCCCCACCAGCATCACACCAGCATCGGTCTTGTCCTCGTCATCCTCACTGATGCCATCGTCACGACCATCACCATCGAAGCCATTGTCATTACCAACACAAACTGTCTAGCAGTATTTGTAAAGTCTTCCCTATTGCGCTCGAAACCTTACATTCTGCCCCGCCGCGGCATCACAGAGTGGCGGCACCTTGATGTCCTTCGCCTCGTTGCTGCCCTTCGGCAGCTCGGCCCAGCGACGGACAGCAGACTGATCGAGAAGTTTCTTCTAGAGCTTGCGGTGCGAAGTGTGTGGTTGGGGTTGGACTCATGAAGCTGTTTCTGGTCCGAGCTTTGGATGTGACTTTGTCGTTCAGGCTCCTGCTTTACCTATGCGACATGGGCTGCCCGACTTGCCGGCAGCTCAGACTCTCGAAGCAGAAAGCAAGGAAAGAAGCCGACCCCGTGAACTCCTGGCAGAAACCGCTGAATTCCAGGTCCGCAAGCCTTGTCCCTATCTCCTGTCATGTCCTGAAGCCCTCCGGCCAAAAGAACCAGTGCCTCGGCATCCGACACCGCAGTGTCTGCCTCCTCCTTGGCAGCGAAGGACACAAGGAAGGGACGGCTCAGTTTTGGCTCACTGGGCTTAATGGTTGAGGAACGATATGACGGATAGCAGCATCAGCAGCAGGAGACTTGGGGCGGGGCCGCTTGCTCCCTCGAGATCTCATGGATGGGCTCGTCTTGGCCAGGCGTGAGTTTGGGTGCATCAGCTCAAAAGCTCTTGCTTGGGAAGCTCCGAACAAAGCAATATTGCGGGCAACTCACCCTGAGGTTTTTCACAGCCTGCGCCTACGGAGAACTAGCATCGGCCACAAGTATCTTCTACTCTCCCAGTGCTGCCTACAGCTGTTGTTGTGACATATGTCTGCCTCTGCAGTTCGTCTGTGCCACAAGAACCAGGAGCCGAACCATCTTGATCTGGCTGCGGGTGGTGCGCCTGGCAGGCGGACTTGAAGGCGCAGAAGGGAAGTCAGGACTTCGACGGTTTAGGATTTCTGGTTTAGTGTTTATGATTCGGGATTCAGCGTGCACGCATAAGCTGTGCAAATCCACCTGCTGCTTGATGTCATCTGCGACGCCGAAGACCTTAGCAGCTTAGCAGCCCAGTCGAGCTCTGCCGCCAAACGCCGAAGAAGCTAAGCAGTTCACCACTGCGTCCAGGTGTTCGTTTTCAATTGAACAAAACATCTAGTACTGAAAAACCTCAGTGGACAACAGCCGGTGCCCGTGTGGCAAACGAACTGTGCGGCACAAACACCTCGAGCACAGTTAAAGCAACACAATCACCACAGCCACTAGCAGCATCGGGTTCTCAGGAATCGGGTCGAGTGAAGACAACCGCTTGGTCCGCGCACGTCCAGGAAAAGCACCGAGCGGAAACGCCTCGGCGTTTAGGCGCGGTGAAAGCGCATCTGCGGGCACTCACCGAAACCTTCAACAACTGCAAGTGCAAAGCTTCCGGCCCCTGATGGTGCTAGACAGGTTCAAGAGACTTGAGAACTTGGGAATTGTTTAAAAAGTCGGGACCAGAGCCCGTCGACTTTCAACCACGAAAACTTCTGGGGCGATGGCTTCGGAAGCATCACGAGGTCTGCACTTGGCCTCCCGGCTGCTTCTGGTGGCTTCAAAAGCGGCTTTTGCAGGTTTCGGAGTTTAGGGCTTGGGGTTGCCACTTAGGGTTTCGCCATAGCGAGTGGTCGATCGCGGGATCTGGGTTTAGCTTGCATGAGGAAGTATCGATCCTGACAATGTAACACAAGAACGTTCGGGGCAGAACATGAATACCTTTGGGGTCGAAGGTTTCAAGGTTCAGGCTTTCGGACTTAGGGATCTACTTCGAGGAGGCCCGATGTCCCGAAACCCGAGACCGGGAAGAGATTTCCGGAACTGCCACAGCCGTAGGCCCCGGGCCACGCGAGGTGAAGCAAACCCTCCAGCCTTCCGTGGGATCAAAAACGGGAAGAATGACTTGGGCTTTGGGCGTGGGAGTGGAGGTTCAGGGTTCGGGGCTTAGGGTTTCGGGGTTTTGGAGTTTGGGGTTCCATGGCTCAGGCTCCAGGTTTGGAGTTTCTCCGCCGCTTCAGGGTCTGAAGTGAAGCCTCATTGAGGGTTGCGGGCCTGGTGATGCCAATCCCCACCATCATCACCATAACATATCATGCCCGCCGCTCAAGTGGGATAAGATGGAAGGCTTATGCAAATCCAAAGCCGAAGCCTTCGTCCAAAACCTCGACATCTGCACGCTAAGCCCTGACAACCCAGGAGGCCCCGGCCACAGCGCAGTGATGAAGAAGGTCGTGCAGCCCAGGACGAACTCATGTTCCGGGTCGAAATGGCCGCGCCTTGCAGGATCACACAGGCCAGAGTATGTCTGGGAATCTGTTTCTATGAAGCCGAAGGAATAGAAAGACAAAGACAAGAATGGCACTGACAACAGAAGTCGTCATCATGGCAGAGCTACGGTGGGCTGTGGCAGCAATCATACTGACAATTCTTTCAGTAGCCATGATCCTGACAACACGATTAAGACATTAAGAAGAGCAGAAGACTCGTAACAACAACAATGCAAAGCAAGAACTATTTCATGAGAATAGAACAGGAGAAGCACAATAATACACAGCTGCTGAACTAATGGCACATATCTTGTCACTCTGCGAGTTTCAGCCGAACACATTGCAAGTACACATACCAAGAATTACAACATTGCTGGCGGTCACCGTGCAAAGGACTGAGCTGAGAGGGCGCAAAGCCCCGGAAGGGCCCGCACCCACCCTCAAGGTACGGGGCATTGACCTTCGACAAGCAGGGATGCCTCGCTCTCTCTCTGTCTCTGTCTGCACCTCCACTTGCGCTCAACGTCCTTCTTTTGGCAACGTCTCTTGCCCAGGCTCCTGACACGCCTCCAACCGCGAGTAGACATGGCCGGTGGTTCCGACACGGGCCTACTCGACGGGCCTCAAGGGTGCCACAGGGCACATGCACAGAGGCTGTACAGACTAGGCCCTTGGCAAGAGGCCCTATACAAGAGAGGCTTCAACACCATGCTGTCAGCAGATCTGAGCAGCCTATGCTGGCAGAAGCGAAAACTGAGCAACTCATTTGCCCTGCTTCATCATCAGGGAGCGCTTCTTCTGCGTCTTCTGCATCTGGGTCTCCTCGTCACCGTTGGGCTTCCACAGCCCGCGGTGCAGGACCTCTGCAGCTGCATCATGAACCTTCTCCCAACCGTGGAAGCGGCCGCGCTGGCTGAGCGTGCCTACGGCATTTGGAAAAGCATGATGGACATCGTGGAAGAGCATCTCGTTCCAGCGGTGCTTCCCTCCAAGAACCATGGCCATCACGTTGTGAAGAACAGGCCAGGTGCGGCCCGGATCCTGTGCCAGGAACTCGTTCCAAGGCAAGCCTGGGCTGTAAATCTCCAGGGTTCAGACTTTAAGGTCTAGGGTCTTGGGTTTAGGGGTAACATCGGGGGCGTTGTGAATTGGAACGGGGTTTTGAGATAAGGTGTAGTACGTTGATAATAACAAGGAAATTTGAGAAATAATGTTGGCAATTACTTAAGCTTCCATATTGGCCACGGCTGCTAAAAGAGTTGTAGCATGAGGAACTTGCATCTAAGGTTTTTTGTGTTTCGGTCGGGGTAGCACAGTGTTTAGGGTTTCGGGCTTTGGGTGAACCTTTCTAAGACCAAACAGGAAGCTCAACATAATCCCAAATTGAAGAAGCCTAGATGCTATGAGTGAAGTTGGTGATGAACATCCAGGCCGCGGAGTAGCCGACCCGAGCGAAGAAGGACACTGTGAACATGAACCGCCAGCCCTCGCTGAGAGGACGTCCCAAAGGGTAGGTGCCGAGCAACCACACAAGCGACCACAAACAGAGCACGAATGCATTGTGCTTGACACGGCGTGGAACCCACTTGCTCCAGAATTCCTTGTTGCACTTGCCGCCTGCACCCTCGTCAGGGAAATGCATCCACCACTCCAATGCGAACAAGGAGCCGGTGTCGTTCAGGCCGAAGAAGTGGATCACTGGGATGAACGGGACGGTGAGCAGGTACTTGTACCAATTGGAGCCCCATGGTCCGGCCCACTGCTGGAGAGCATAGTGGAACTCCTCGGGGTCCCAGCCGAACTCGCCCTGGATCAGCAGGTCAACCGTCGAGGCATGATGCCTGTTGTGCTCCAGGACAAACTCTTCCCACGGGAGCGAAAAAAAATCCGCAAATGGATGAGTCAAGAAGCGCTGCCACTCGTAAACCGGGAAAGTGGCGCCATGCATCACGTCGTGATCAATGTAAATGTTCTGGATGGCGATGTACGAGAACGGGATGCCGAAGCAGAGCGTGCAGGTCCACCAGTAGTCCGGGAAGCAAGCCAAGGCTGCACAGTAGCCGATCACCATCAACACTTGGCTGCAAAAGATTGCGGTGAGGACATTCCACATGTAGATCATCTGCTCCTGCATTTAGAAACAAAGCAAAAGTATGTGCTAAAGATTTTTGTTTTTCTGTAACGTTCAAAGCTAGCGCAGCAAGAGTTTGCACGCACGGACCCAACCGGTCCACGGCAAAACTACGTTGTTCACGTCCCACTACTGACCAGACGCACAAGCTAGGCAAGCCGCAAAGCCACAGGCTTTTTCCTAGCTTGAGGAAATATATAGATGTAGCTTGCTCTTCTCAACAGATATGGCTGTATGTTGCTAGCAGGGATCACATCTAAGATCTTCACCTCCACGCCATGCCATGTGAAGTCCTTCCTGTGCAAAAACAAGAGACGAGAGACTTTGTAGGGTATGGGGGATAGAGGCTAGGGAAAGCAAAGTCGTTGGGTAGCAAAAGGACCTCTAGCATCTTCTGCATCTGCTCCGCCGTACGTGACAAATCACCTCTTGTGACGTCGTTGCCTGTCAAACCGGCCCAGCAAACAGCTCGAACGTGGACGCCTACTTCAACGTGTTGACGCCGCTTTATTGCCCGCTGTCCGGACTGAAAATAAAACCTACTGAGCCTGTGTGTGTGTGTGTTTGCGGTTTTACGTCGGCAGCTGCGTGTGTGTCATGACGTGTTGCAGCGTTGCACCTTTGATGATCGTTGCATGATGCGTGTCCATGATGTGCAGG